CTGTGTCTCTGACATGTATTGTGTGCAGAGTCATGGAGAAGATTATCAGGAGGAGAGTGGTCGAACACCTGGAAAGGAACAAGATTATAAATGAAAACCAGCATGGGTTCATGGAAGGCAAATCTTGTATCACAAACCTCCTGGAGTTTTATGACAAGGTAACAGAAGTAAGACACGAGAGAGAGGGGTGGGTAGATTGCGTTTTCCTAGACTGCAGGAAGACCTTTGACACAGTTCCCCACAAGAGATTAGTGCAGAAGCTGGAGGATCAGGCGCATGTAACAGGGAGGGCACTGCAATGGATCAGGGAATACCTGACAGGGAGGCAGCAAAGAGTCATGGTACGTGAAGAGGTATCACAGTGGGCGCCTGTGACGAGCGGGGTCCCACAGGGGTCAGTTCTAGGAGAGTGCTATTTTTGATATATGTGAACGACATGATGGAAGGAATAGACTCTGAAGTGTCCCTATTCGCAGATGATGTGAAGTTGATGAGAAGAATTAAATCGGATGAGGATGAGGCAGGACTGCAAAGAGACCTGGACAGGCTGGACATGTGGTCCAGTAACTGGCTTCTCGAATTCAATCCAGCCAAATGCAAAGTCATGAAGATTGGGGAGGGGCAAAGAAGACCGCAGACAGAGGATAGGCTAGGTGGACAAAGACTACAGACCTCACTCAGGGAGAAAGACCTTGGGGTGACCATAACACCGAGCACATCACCGGAGGCACACATCAACCAAATAACTGCTGCAGCATACGGGCGCCTGGCAAACCTGAGAATAGCGTTCCGATACCTTAATAAGGAATCGTTCAAGACACTGTACACTGTGTATGTTAGGCCCATACTGGAGTATGCAGCACCAGTCTGGAACACACACCTGGTCAAGCACGTCAAGAAGTTAGAGAAAGTACAAAGGTTTGCAACAAGGCTAGTCCCAGAGCTCAGGGGAATGTCGTACGAGGAAAGGTTGAGGGAGATCTGACTGACGACACTGGAGGACAGAAGGGTCAGGGGAGACATGATAACGACATACAAGATACTGCGGGGAATAGACAAGGTGAACAGAGATAGGATGTTCCAGAGAGGGGACACAGGGACAAGGGGTCACAACTGGAAGCTGAAGACTCAGACGAGTCACAGGGACGTTAGGAAGTATTTCTTCAGTCATAGAGTTGTCAGGCAGTGGAATAGCCTAGCAAGTGAAGTAGTGGAGGCAGGAACCATACATAGTTTTAAGAAGAGGTATGATACAGCTCAGGAAGCAGAGAGAGAGAGGACCTAGTAGCGATCAGTGAAGAGGCGGGGTCAGGAGCTGAGTCTCGACCCCTGCAACCACAATTAGGTGAGTACAGTTAGGTGAGTACAAACACACACACACATACACACACTCACACAAACATACACAAACATACTGCCAGGAGTTATGAATCGACCCCTGAAACCACAAGTAGATGAGTACACACAACAAAGTGAGAAAACGAAGAGGCTTCTAATGGAACTTAACACATCAAAGGCCACAAAGAATTCCGAATGATATATCACAACAGTAATTTCTACTGAACCTGATGTTGTGTAGGCCACCTCTTAAGAAAATCAAGTCGTCAGTGACGGTGACCTGCTAAGACACTTTTGTAAGTAGGCATTGTAATACCAATTCTATAAAAAGATTATCAGATAATAAGCCGTCCACTTCAGACCCGTATCTTGTATGAGATAACCTTAGAAAGTAATGTAATGTATACATTACATTATAAAGGTCAAGTCGAACACCTAGAAACAGGAAATTACTTGGAAATAAATGGTATAAAATACCGACACAATGGAAATATAAACACATATGCAGTATAATGTGATCCTTTAATGACAACGTTTCGCCCACACAGTGGGCTTTTTCAAGTCACAAACAGATCTCTTAACAGGTCAGTGAAATACTGACCTGTGAAGAGAATGAGCTGTGAAAAATCCTCGGATATATTTGAAACACATTTTCAAACAAAGACTTACGTATTGTTAGCTTTGACCCAACATTGAAAAAGAAAACAAGAGCTAGGGACCATCTATGCCATTACCTCACAGGCTCATTTGCATAACGCAACAAGCATTATAACACAAAACTATTATAATACAATACATATTATAACACAGCAAGTATTGTAACACGAGTATTATAACACAACAAGTATTATAACACAAGTATTATAACACACACATGGTTAAATGAAGATGCAGAAACGGGAATACACACAAACACTAACACACCTGGAAGGTCCAGTGTTCGAGTCCTCAGTAAATCGACACGTATGGGCACGACTCCGCGGACCTGCTCTCGTTGCCAGTCTAACAGTCAATAGGTATCTGGACATTAACAAATTGTTGTGGGTAGCATCCTGGGAGAAATATGTTCGAATGTAATTAATAAAATTGAATTTGACACTGCTGGCATTGCGTCGGTCCTGTGACTACAAATAGGTAATCAGTAGATAAATAGGTAATAATT